CCTAAAGAGGGTGCCATGTGAAATGGAGGATGCTCCGCTGCATTGAACGCAAGGCGAAGGAGGGGATGACGACCGGAAGCGTTCTGAAATAGTAAAGAAGTTTGGACAGTATGGTCATTTTGACTGCAGACACGTTGCCTAGCCATGAGAGTTTATGAGGGAGCCAGGAGGTCAACGTTTTCTTTAGATTTCTAAATAGAGGTATATAGTTTGTGGCGTATAAAGTGTCGTATGAGGATGTAATTTTAACCCCCAAGTAGTTGTTATAGGACTTAGCCCATTCGAAGGTAAAATTGGTACAAAGATGTTCATATAAGTGTCTAGGGAGCGTCACGTTCAATGCAGCGGATTTACCCCAGTTTACTGTAAGTCCAGTTATGGTGGAGAATTGTTGTTGACTTAAAAGGTTGGGAACTGTGGTATGCGGCTGAGTCAGGGTAAGCATAACGTCAACGGTGAAAAGGCTCGCTTTATATTCTACCCCCGCTAGTTCAATGCCTTTAATGTTGTGGTCCCTGCGGAGAAGAATCGCTAGAGGCTCAATGGCTAGTGCAAAAAGGGCATGGGAAAAGGGACATCCCTGGCGGGTACCCCTCTCGATTGGGAACTCTTGTGATAGGCGACCTAGGTATTTAATTTGGGCTTTGGGTGTGGAGTAAAGGACCTGCAGCCAAGTCAGGAATGAGTCTCCAAAACCCCAGCGGCGTAAAATGTAATATAGGTATTCCCATGAGATGGAATCAAATGCCCTCTGCAGGTCCAGGGACAGTAGGAAACCTGGTATATTTAGAGATTTGAGCACATGAACCAGGTGGATTATTTTCCGAACGTTGTCCCCTGCTTGCCTACTGGGAATGAATCCCACCTGGTCTCTATGGACAATATAAGGAAGGATGAGATTAATACGAGTGGCCAATATTTTCGTTAGAATTTTAATGTCAATGTTTAGCAATGAGATGGGTCTGTAATTACTGGGATTTCGATGGTCTTTGTCAGGTTTGGGTATCATCGATACATCGATAGTGACGATGGGTGTAAATTCAGGCCAGTCTTAAGGGAGTTAAACATCAGGGCCAACCTAGGGGCTAACAATGGTGCAAGTTTTTTGTAATACAAAGCGGAGTAGCCGTCGGGGCCGGGCGCTTTGGAGGGTTTGAGATGTTAGAGGAAGTTCTGACCGCTATCAAACGTAATATTCGAATTGAGGAGGTCCAAGTCAGCCGGCAGGACCGGTGGCAGGTCACATCTTGCAAGAGATCATCCGCCTGCTCTGGTCGGAAGGATCTCGAGTTGGCATATAGCGTTTTCAGATCATGTTTTTCAGGGTTTGCTGAAACACTACCACAAGATGCCCGCAATCTGATGGGAGTAAACCGGTCCGGCAAGGTATTTAACTTATTGGCTAGTAGAGAACCCGGTTTGTTAGCTCTTGAATAAAATTTATGTTTAGCCCACCGTAGGGTTTTATCAGATTGCTGGTCCAGCAAAAGGTTTAGTTCAGCTTTGACCATATTCAGTCGGGCCAGGAGTGTGCGATCAAACCTGTCTTTAAGGGCCTGATCCAGTACTCCCAGTTCAGACTGTAGTTTGGCTATCTTGTGCAATCTTTCTTTCTTGCGACGGGAGGCACGCTCTATCAGGTGCCCCCGCATCGTAACTTTGTGTGCCTCCCACAGGGTCACAGGCGATTGGACCGAGTCCTCATTAAGTTCAAAGTATTGTCTAGCGCATGTTTCAATACGGAACATGTTGTCTACAGTGGAGAATAGGGAGTCATTAATTCTCCAGTTCCCCCGGCCCTGAGTGCCGCCCTCCATTTGAAATTGTATGACGTTAGGGGCATGGTCAGACCACGGGATTGCCTTTATATTGGCCGACAGGAAGTGGGACAAAAATCGTTGGATTGTGAAGATGTGATCAATTCTGCAATAGATTTGGTGTGGGTTAGAAAAGTAGGTGTAGTCTTTAGTGGTGGGGTTCAGTTCTCTCCACACATCCACTAAATGATGATCATTTAAAAAGGTTATCAAGGTAGAATTGTTCGTAGGGGGTGCCGATGTTAGAATGGGGGTAGTTACCTTATTGGTTTTATTCATGTGGGGGAGTAACACCATGTTAGTATCTCCAGCTAAAAATAGCAAGCCTTTGGCATGATGTTGAACTACTTGAAATAGGTGCGAAAGGAATTTGAGTTGGTGTGTATTCGGGGTATAATAGGTGAGGAAGGTAACCGCCACATCAAAGAGAGTGCCGATTAGGAGGATATAGCGACCTGTAGGGTCAGCTATTTGTTTGTGGCAAACAAAGGGAAAGGTTTTCCTAAAGGCTACTAATACCCCTCTCTTTTTTTTCCAGTGAAATTGGCATGGTAAAACTGGGGGTAGTTTTTATGGAGGAAGCCTGGGCAGGATGTCGTGGAAAATCTAGTCTCCTGCAGGCAGATTACATCCGCATGGCAGGAGGAGTAGTATGAGAAAGCTTTATGTCGTTTGGAAGGGGAATTCAGCCCTTGAACATTGTGAGAAGTTAATGCAAACTCACTAGCCATAAAAGAAGGGTAGGTGGGACGATACTTGTGGCTTCAGCCGCATACCACAGTAGGGGTAGATGGGGTAGTCAGCACGGTCCGGTGAGAGAACCCGAGTTGATGAGTTGGATGTTGAGTCAAGAGAGATGTAGGGGTGGGAGGGGAAAAAACCTTCAGGGTAACAGAACACAGGTTAAAACAAAAAAAAAGTGTAACAATAAAGTACAACAATAGTAGCCGTCCGTGAGGATCGGCCTCGCAGGCAACGGGAACGGGACTATCCGTCCCATTGCTTGACATGTGGAGGGGTGTTACCACCGATCCCCATGGAAAGCGATAGCTTATCGGTAATTACTACCTGAATAAAATCAATTACTACAACTAGCAGCAAAAGCATAAAGATTAGACATCAACGGAGTCTATGCAATAAGCAGGAGCTTCAGCGTGCATGAACCAAAGTGGATGTGGAGGGCAGCTGAGGGTGGTGACATCACGGTACTCCTGTCAAGTAGGTGTGCAGCGGGTACTCGCCCAGGTGGCAAGGGCAGGAGCATTAGAGTAATTAACAGACAGCATCAGCTGCCCCTCAGCTCCTGTAGTAAGTGTCAGGTTGATGGCCCAATGACCAACTCGGAGGTGAACAAACTGTGTGGAGAAGATGGTAGGAAAAACTGGAACCAGGTGGACCTCATGTCATCAGGTCGGATCTGTAGGAAGGGGGTTATCTCTCAGCTTCTTCTGTGGGGAGGTCCGTTTCTTCTGTTGCCTCTCCCAAATTGGGCTTGGTGGGACTGGAAGTCGCTTCTCTTTCTGTGATGAGGTGGGCAATTGCGAGGGGGGTAGTAGAGACAATTCTGCGAGTATCTTGCGGAGGTCATCGGGGGTAGAGGCTGCAAACGACTTCCCATCCCAGTTGAAAAGCACCTTTTAAAGGGGAACCCCCAGCGGTAGGAGATATGTTGCACTCGGAGCACTTCCAGCAAAGGTTTGAGCTCTTTCCGCCGTTGGGAGTGTGGTTGGGGAGAGATCAGCATATATTTGATATGGGTGACCCTGGAAAAGTAGGTCTCGTTGTCCCCGGGCGGCATACAAAATGGCCTCCTTCGTCTTGTAGTAAGTAAATTTGATGATAATGTCCCTTGGAGGGCCATCACGGCGTCTTTGTGCCAGGGCTCTATGTATGCGATCGAATTCTAGGCGATCAATGGGGGTAGATGGAACCAGTTCCTGAAAAAGTGCTGTGGCTGAGGAAGTCAAATCCTCCATGAATTCAGGTAGGCCTCTATGTCGCAGATTTCTGGTCTTCCAGCTTGTCTAGTGCGACCCCCAGCTGCTCAGAGATCGAATCAAATTCCCTCTCCTGGGATTCAACAATCGTGATCACATTATCCATCTTGGTTTCAAGAAGATCCATGCGGGTGCCTATCTCTTTAATTTCGTTAGACAGCACTGCTGCTAGCTTGTCAGTGGCCAGGGTCAGCTCGGTTTGCAGCATAGATCGGAATTTATCTAGTAAGGCCATGTCCCTGATGCTCTCTGGGTTGTCTGCAGGGGTCAGGGACATGCTGTCGAGGGATGAGGAGTCAAATACCTCAGGCGTGGGAGCCGGAGAGGCCCGCGGGTCCTCATGGTGAGGTGCGTCCGCCATCTTGGATTGAATGTGCACCTTCAATGATGACTCCACCCTCCAGCTGCTCCTCAGGGTGAGACAGGGTGTCGCTCAAACTTCTGCTGTCAGTCAGGGAGCTACAGTCAGTTACAAACTTCATGTAACTTCATGTCCTGCCGATACTGGCGCTCAAAATAAGTGGCCATTCCCTCCTTCACACCAGAGGGGTCCTATTGGGCAATGCACAGCATGTGACCTGAGCTGCCTGCATCCAATTCAGCCTGTAATCACCCCATCTTCCACTACAGGCACGGGAAAGGACAGACACAGGCTGGCTCCCAATGTCGATTAGCTCCTCCCTCTCATTCCCCTGCTCAGAGCAGACCGATCTAAACAAGCGTCGGGCACTAGTACGGAATGCATCAGCCTGGACCGACGTTCCTCCCTCTTATTCCCTTGCTCAAAGCAGACCGATCTAAACAGGTTTCGGGCACCAGTGCGGTATGCATCAGCCTGCTCTGACGGACCGGCGCTCGTTTACATCTGTCTGCTCTGAGCAGGGGGATGAGAGGGAGGAGCTAATCAACACTGTGCATCAGGCCAAGTGGGCTGTCCCGGTCGAACACAATCAGGCTGATTTGTGTTCAGCCCACCGGGCAAGTGCTGGTATGCCCTATGGCTAGTCTGGCCCTGGCTATAACCTTGGCTGCTGATGGGGAAGCAAACCAAATATAGCGAGAAGCTTTGTTATGTAAATGCTTTTACTTGGCATGCTTATCTGTTTCTGTGGAGGGGGTAATGACAGGCTGTCTTTAGGAATCATGGGTACTTTTATTCACATTATTATTAATGTTTTGCTTTTAGAGGTACCTGGATGATGCTGAAAGGGACAAACAGCAGTATATGAAGGAGTTAAGAGAATATCAACTGTCTGAGACTTACAAGATGTGTTCCGATAAGATTCATGAAAAGAAGATGAAGAAAGGTGAATTTTACAATATTTTAATTCATTGCAGTGTTTTCTTCATTCTGCCCTTATCTTTTTTCATAATAGCATTAATATGCCTTTAGTAACTAATGTCACTTTAGAGTAAATACAAAAATACCTTTTATGTGCTAGATGTTTATTGTAGCCTTATGGCTGTAAAGACCACAAAGGTGAAACCATAAATTGAGAAAACACAATTCTCCAAGTATGTACAGGCCAATTACTTACTTTGTAAGAATTGTAACAAGCTTTAAAATAGTTTAACAGGGTGCCTGTAAATTCTTAAACCAATGCACCGCGCTGAACCTCTAAACAGTATATCAAACAAAAAGTGTGTCTTAATGCTGAAAACAAATATATTCAACCTCCAATAAATAATTTAAATCCAAGGTGATACAGTTCACAGTGTAAGTCTCTTATGAGACTTGATAAGTGTCCAATAAATCAAATAGTGCATAAGTGTTCATATACATCAATATCAAACAGTGTTCAAATGCAGATTAATGTTCATATAAATCAGTATGATATACTGCGATTTGGCAACTAATGCCTCTAAGAGTATCTTCCTTCAGTTTCCGCACCGCCACATCGGATCACGGTCCGGCAGCGGCGACGAGGAGACGGCGGGGCAGAGGTACGGGGGGGTGGGTAGGCCACACACGAAATCGAAGGAGCTCCCCCACTCCATTGAACGATCCATCCCCAAAAAAGGGAAAAGGGATACAATAGTGTAGTATATCGAGATAAAATATTTATTAAAATGTAGTAACTTACAAGTAAGTATAAAGTCATCCGCAGGCTGATCGAGCATCCACCACAAAACTAGCCTCAGACGAAAGGAACACACCACTTCCTACGCGTTTCGTCACTGGGACTTTTTCAAGGAGGGTGTACGTGCTGAGTTAGGCTGGGCACACACCTTACAACCATCGCAAGACTTCTGTCTTGCGATGGTTGTAAGGAACTGAAAAAAACGTACGATCTGCCTATGTTGCATAGGCAGATCGTACTTGCGATGATCGCAAGCCACGCCCCCTGAGGGGCGGGCTTCCGATGACCGCAATGCTGAACGGGCAGTGTGCGCTTGCGCACACCGGCCCGTGCGGCTGTTATCGTACGGACATGCCACAAACCCGCCGAACATCGTACGATGCTCGGTGGGTTTTCGAACATGTCCGTAAGTTTAAAGTCGTGCGACCTTACAGTAGTAGAGGTCGCACGGCTTCCACACACCTTACGATCATCGTACGGTCGCGGGATTTCCCGCGATTCTCGTACGATAATCGTAAGGTGTGTGGGGACCCTTAGGGAGATCCAATTTATACATCTCACCATGAATAAATTAAGAATCAATTAACATAGTATCCAATCATGTCATAAAGACATGGAATTAAAAACAACACCCCTTGTATACAAATATTTTTACCCAAGAGTCCCAGTAATATCCAAATGAGTACATTAAATTATTAACAAATAAATTAAGATAATCAACCCACAAATACCAATAAAATCCAAAATAAAATGCCTGTAAAACCTGCCAGGTTGGTAGGAAAACTGTTTGGTGTCATGGATTGGGACTCACGGGTATAAACTGGAGTCTGGTATGTGGACCCTTTCCACTACACTGGCAGGGACACTTGGAGAAAAGGGTCCAAGCAGTGTAGGCTGACGACTCCCACAGCTAGAGTACAGGGAACAGTGCAGGTATGTGAATGAGGCAGTGGAAGTCAGCTTAAGCTGGAAGTTCAAATACAAGGCAGGGTGCTGCAATGCTGAGTAGGTGGCATGGGATGCTGAGTAGGTGACATGGGGTCCCCCAGGATGTAGAATCTAAGGGCCAGCCGGTATTCACCAGAGCTCCTGATGGTGGAGATGGGCTTGGCTGCATGATGACGCCCGATCACAATCCCAAGGTCCACCCAACTCACCTAACAGGTACAGGGTACAAATCAAAAGTTAGGGGCAGGCTGAAGACTTCCAGGGACAAAGCAAAGCACAGGGTAGACTATAAACAGGGATTTCCAAGGACAAAAGCAAACCCCAGGGCAGCCTGTTGACAGGGATTTCCTAGGACAAAAGCGAAGCACAGGGCAGCCTGTAGACTTTCCAAGGACAAGCCAAACGTTCGGTACACAGGAAAACTTACAGGAATTCAGGGTACATCTCAAATGGGGGACTCGGTAACTAGCTTGAGAAAGCGTTGCTCGGGCAGCGTGCCGTTCGCTGCCCTGAGTTTAAATAGAGACAGGAGGAGGGTGGATCCACAGGATTGGCCACACACGGACTGCACTGATTGGCCGAGAAGCTGTATAAGAAACAGCAGGAGAGGTCGGCCGACGCCTAAAACTGCCAGACTGGTGCAAGTGTGAGTCAGGTTCAGAGCACATGACTGGAGGAATACAAGCACCAGCACAGCCCTGCATGCCTGCAGTACCAGTGGTAAGAGGTATGTATATACTTGAACAGCAAGTCTGCAGCTGAATCGTGACAGATGGAAAATATGTTCCTTAAGGGATTCTTAAATATATGATCTAAGGTAATGGCAGCAGAGTCTTGGAGGTAAAGAAAGATATTTATTTAACCTGTGTTGGTAAAACCTGTTCTGGGGGTGGTTTTACTAGGAGTCTGATAGAGCTCTGGGTGGGACAGACTCCTAATTATGTGGACAGTAACTTGGTGGTGACTGCACAGGTCCTCTTTAGTGTGCAGCTGGGCCTACCTGAGGACTGTTTCTCAGTGGAAGTAGAGACAGTGTGTTGAGTGCAGCAAACATCTGTTTTAGAACCACGCCTGTCCACAGGGCAAGAATCAGTGGAACTGTTCCCAAAGAGGAAATAGACCCAGCGCAAAGGACGATCACAAGGACTCAGTAAGGCTCAGTGGAGCAGATCTTTATTTTGTTATATGACAGTCTCTTTTTTGCTGGATGCCTTTTAACCTTTGTTTACTGCTGTCCGGAATAAAAGCTGGCAATTTTTTTTTTAAAAAGACTGAGTTTGCCTCTGCCTTGAGACTAGTTCCATACAATAGATTCTTACTTGCTTCAGCTCTGTGGATTCTGAATAAGGGATTACTTTAATTGTCAGTGCTGCTGTTTTAATTGGAGAAAAACTACCTGGAAGAGTAGTGAGCCAATCACAGCAGGTTATTACTTGTATTATGCATGCAGGTGTGCACCCCCCTGTCTGCTGCCGATCCTGAGATCTGCTGTGCCTGGTGCGGGCCTGGTACCGGCACAGCGACTCTGTCACCGTGGATCAGAGGGAGATCAGTACAAGATCTCCCTCTAATCTCCTCCCCATACTCTGTGGGAATTGATGTATATTACTTCAGCATTCAACTGCCATTCCCAGCTACAGAAGCCGGGGAGAAGCTGGTAAAGCAGATCTCTGCTTCATCAGCTTCTCTAGGGGTCACTCGGTGACATTAGGGGTCTTAAACATAGTTACATAGTATTTGAGGTTGAATAAAGACATAGGTCCATCAAGTCCAACCTATTGTGTGTATGCATTTATGTTTGAGCAGGTGTGTATATGAGTCCATGTGTGATTTGGCTCCTAAGAGTACCTGTACCCCTGTATGTTATGGTCTCCAAGGAACTCGTCCAGGAGTTTCTTGAATGATTCCACACTCTTCGCTGAAATCACTTCCTGCGGCAGCGAGTTCCAGACCCTAACCGCTCTAACTGTGAAGAACCCCCTGCGCCCCGTGTGTAGAATTTTTTTTTTTTCTACCAATTTGTAGTGGTGCCCTCTGGTCTTTGTTACGGAGCTAACCGTAAACAGTTTATAGACCTTGTCCTTGCAATACATTCTTAATGCAAGACAGGACTCTGCTTGCTTTGTTTACAGCAGTCTGGCATTGCGAGCTGTTCTTCAATCTGCGGTCTAGAATGACCCCCCAAATCCTTCTCCGTTTCCGACTTCCCTAGTGGCACACCCATAAGTGTATAGTCCATTTGCCTATTTTTAACTCCAAAGTGCAATACCTTGCATTTAGCGACATTGCCCATTCCCCGAGTTTATCCAGGTCCTCCTGTAATGTTACAATGTCTAAATCCATGTCTATTACCCTCCCAATTTTGGTATCATCAGCAAACACTGAGACATGACTACTCACTCCCTCCCCGATATCATTAATAAACAGGTTAAAAAGCATGGGGCCCAGCACAGAACCCTGGGGCACGCCACTCAGGACCTCTGCCCAGTCTGAAAAGGTGCTGTTTAGCGATACTCTTTGCACACCTTCCTTTAGCCAGTTTTCTATTCACGTGCACACTAATTCATCTATGCCCATATCCCTTAGCTTGTATAACAAGCGTTTATGTGGCACCGTATCAAATGTTTTGGAAAAGTCCAGATATACTACGTCCACAGTCCTCCCTCCATCTAGATCTCTACTCACCTCTTCGTAAAAGGTTAGCAGGTTGGTCTGGCAAGAACGATCCTTCCTAAATCCATGCTGGTTATCAGTTATTATGCCATTATCCCGAACAAATTCCACTAAGTAGTCCTTAATAATTCCCTCTAAAAGTTTACATACTATGCATGTCAGACTAACTGGTCTATAGTTCCCCGGTTGGCATTTTGACCCTTTTTTTTTAAAGATCCTTGATGTCTCCATAAAGAGGACCTGTCATTGTAAATTGGCTATCACATAGGGAGCTTGATAGCAGTAAAGTTAAGTGAAGAAAAAAAGGTTAAAAAAAAAATTAGTTAAAAATTTTTTTTTTTTTAATTGACCTGGCCAGCTGGAAGCACTTTTGTAGGTCCGTATGCCATACGTCCTTGGCAGCGAAAGGGTTAAAAGCAGACTTGGCGGTATATTTCGACCCCCTCTGCTTATCTTTCCTGGACATGGGCGAGTGGTGGAAGTCTGAGTGGGGAGTCTGCCGTTATAGAGGAAGTTGGACCTGGAGCTCATTTATTGTGCTGCACTCTCCGCCATTACCGAGCCACGCCCCCCATAAATTCTTTTATTATTTCACTTATATATGTTAGCTGTGTAGTAAAACACCCAAATTAGCACAATACTTTTTATTTGTACAGACTTTATGAGCTTAAATTTGTCTATTTTTCATCCCACAGAAGAAAACCGTGCATCATCTATCAGCACTTTGTTGAATGGACACATGCTAAAAGTGAGTTTCTACCATTTTATATATATTTATATATAAGAGATTGTATGCATGTGTGTTATGGAATGAAGGGGTGCAGAGGGCACATCACAAAAAGTTTGAAAGCCATACATGGATAGAAAAGAAATCTAACTCTTATGTTTCCTATAGTTTTTGGTGGACTTTAAAAAACAAATTGCATATCATATGACCATGCAGAGCTCCTAAAGGTATCCCCGGGATAATTGATACCTAATCTTCTGGTACCAAATGGGAATACTTTTGCCTTTTTGGTGACAGATTATATAGTGGGTCATGAGACCTTTTTAGGTGTGACAGTTGGTAACACATCATAGTGTGACAGTTGGGATGGGGGAACTTTGAGCAGTAAGTGATGTCATTATGTGATTAAAGTGTAGTAATATAGCCATTGATGAGACCAACTTGTCATGAACCTAGTTCAGAGATAGTGTTGTGCAGAGTATAGACCTATATGAAGAGCTATGGCAGGACAGCTGCACAGTAGCTTGAGCACAAACCACAATCCAACATCACAGATTCTCTTTCGTTCATTGAAGGACACAGTGAATCTTCAGATCTTGACCAATTGGGTTATATAGCACCACCTTCATGAGTAGGACACTAGGCACCAAAACAACAGCCTAGGGGTGGTCCCAGATGGTAGCCAAACCCGCTAACAACTAGGAGCGGGGTTTTTTGCCTAGTATCAACGAGTTAGGACCTAAGTTCCATGCTGGGAGTCTTTTTTTGTGCAGGGTATTATATTTTTCTTCTGTCTTCAAGACCTTCAATTAACAGCTGAGCTGGGTGACAGGCTGGATAATATAAATCCTTGCCTTGTCCCCAGCCTCGTCCCCAGCTCAGATCCTTAGCTACGTGCAGGGTCGGCTGTGACAGCCCTATCCTGGATCTGGAGCAGCCTATGAGTGTTCCTCATGGGGGGTGCATATGCCAAGTGACCTCATTGCTCTGTCACAGTGTCGTCCCCCCGGACAGACGGCGTCCCTGATCTGGCAATTTGTCCTGGGAAGCAGTACCCTCCACATATCCTGCAAAGATCCGTAAGTATTTCAGCCTCCTTCTCCATTCTCCGAGGGGGTATCGGTACCCAGGCCTCTATTCCCAGTCTCCCCTCCTCCTCCCCCCTCAGTGTTGTGTATGTGTTTTTCATCCGGGGCACTAGATGGTGGCAGGTGGGTGATCTCTTTCCTGAGACTACCACCACCCAGTGTTACAATGACTTCTCTGGGGGCCGTGATGTGTTTGGACAGGAGTGGGGGTGGGCACCAGCGGCCTTGGTGTGGTGCTTGGTGTGGACTTCTTTTGGTGCACGGGTGTTTCTGGGCAATGTTGTGGAGCAAGGCACAGTGCTGTGCTTACTCAACAGGGGTACTGGTGCCTAGGGCCTCTTCATGGTGGGAGGCTTCCCCCTTGCTTCACTGTGCTGCTTGTGACATGGACCCCTGATGGGGGTCTGTTTTGAGTCCTGACCATGAGTGAACACCACATGTTCTAGCTGTTTAGTACCTGTGGCCACTGTCTGCGGTCTACTCTATCTCGTCTGCGGTGCTTGCTCCTTTATAGGGATTAGTGTTTGTGGTCCCAGGCCCCTTCTTCAGGTGCAGGCACCTCGCTGTCGGCTGCCACAGTAATTGAGACAGCGGCTTGTGGCCGTGGCCCCCATGTTTTCTATTGGTTTTGCCCTTAATTATGTCACTTACACCCTCTGGGACTGATCGTCATTTCTGCCATGTTGCCTGAACTGGAGGAGGGAAGTGAGAATCGGCATGCACTGTGTTTGCGGAGCTGTGCTGCTGACTGACCGGGGTCTGATATGTAATTGGGCTTGCTATACCTGGGTTCCTCAGCTGTTTGGCTTTCAGTAGCCAGCATCCAGTAGTAGAGGATTGACAGTATCTGCTTCAAACTCCCAAGGACTGTAACAGGTTTGCAGGCATATTTGTGCAAGATCCTGGTGGGGGTGGAACGCACCAGTCATGTCTCTGGGGCACAGTTCGTCTGTTGCAGGCCCTTTTTTCTTTCATGTTGTGGCTCTGTCCCATGTCCTCTGTCGCAAGTATTTTGGCTGAGCAGGGGCTCATCGCACTTCTGAGCTATGTTGTTCCTTGTTGACTGGGCTCAGCAGACTGAGGTACTGGCACTGTTTTGGTTGCTTGCCTACCTGCAGCTGGGGTCTTTCCTGTCCCCTAGGTCAGTGTTCCCCAACCCCCGGTCCGTGGACCGGTACCGGTCCGCGGATCAAATGGTACCGGGCCGCACATTCTCAGTGCGGTCCAGTCCTGCAATATGGGGCAGTGCAGGCTCCCGGTGTTTGAACACCGGGGCCCCGTTACGTGTAGATGCACGTGGGCAAAACATTTTTTTTGTTTCATTTAGTTCCTTTTCCTATGTGTCCGTTATTTTGTTTTTTCAGGATTCAGGTTTTAAAGTTTAATTCGTTTCGGCTTTTGGATTCGGATAAATCTGATTTTTTTTTTTATTTCAGATGAGTTAAATGATAATTATGAATGTAAATGTGTTGCAGAAAAGTGACCTTAAATATTTACTTTCTTTTTAACTTTTGACAGTCCGCAGGAACAATAAAAAAAGCCTGTGGTTTCCCCCGACAATTCATACCAGACCCTTTTAGGTCTTGTAGGAATTTTAAGGGGGACCCCAATGCCAAAAAAGAAATTAAAAAAATGTGGGGTTCCCCCTAAAATCCCGTAGCAGACCCTTAATCTGGGCAGCAGCCTGAGGGGGCAGGAAGGGGGGGAGTATTTATATCGGGTAGTGGGCAGAAATAAACAAAGCCTGCTATTGGTTATTTAAAATTGAAATAGCCAATAGCAGGCTGGCTAATGCACCCGCCCACTGCCTGATGTCAATCACAGAGGAGCGGCCCAAACCCGCTGTATGTCAACCATACGTGGCTATACACAGTTCTGAACCGAGCGTGGCGTCACAAGAACATGGCGATGCCACTCTCAGCCTCACCCTGCACAGAGATTCCCCAGCTCGCGGGGCACAATCTCAAGCCAGCAGACTGAGATCGATCATCACCAGGGTTGGGTAACTCTGCAGTTAACCCTTTACTCACAAACGTTCGCTGCCACCATGTGTTTTAACGGAAACAAAGACCGTGCCCAGCAAGTTCTGTAACAGTTTAAAACACTTAAACAATACCTATGATACCGCTGTCCTCTCAGACAAGAATATGAAAGGATTCACTATACAGTAGCGCTCTTCACAGAGGCAAGGATACTTTTAGGTTTGTATTTAGAGCGTAGAGATAAGCTTAATGATTTTTTTTTTTTTTTAACTGACGTATTTTTTTCACATTCGGAAAATACGAGAGTATCAAAGGAATCGTACAGCAGGCATGGCCAACAAGTATTATCTAACAGAAATCAATGCATATCAATACAGCCTTGGTGTCAAGTCATTAAGAACAAGAAATGATAACTGCCAGTTTAAAAAAAAAAAAGAGTATACCAACCAGCATTCATTACAATTTTGCAAAAAGAGTAGGGCTGCGGAAATTAACGATTAATCGTTAATTTTTTGGATCAATCAAAATTATTTTGATCGGTACTCACCTCTCCGCCGGCTTCCGGGAGTTCCTCGGAGATCCGGTGACGTCGATGTCCGTGTCAGGGATCTGCTCTGCAGCGTCGCTCCTGCAGCGCTCGGCCCCTCCTCCAGCGGCGACGTCACCCCACGTCGTCACTGGCTCTCCGGCCCCCGTCCGTAGCTCCGCCCACCTGAAGCCGGCTCCCTCGTTAAGAAGGGAGCCGGGGGAGATTCAATTGCTCTGCGTTCAAGCAAGGAGATTGAACGTGGAGCAATTGCTCTCTCCCCCATGCTGCACTTCCACCGCTGAGTGGGTCCTCTTCCTCGGATGGTGAATAGGGACTCTCCCAGGCTCCTCGGGATACCTGTGGCTGGCTTCCTCTACACTCGTACTGTCTGCAAAAAGGCAAGTAACCTAGCAGATCTTCCTGCATTGAAGTGATTAAGGAACTTGGGTATACTGCCACCTAGTGCTGGAACTTGTTACTGTTTATTGCCATCTACTATACTAAATACCATTCATTCTGCATTGTGAACCATTTGTCAGAAATTACAGCCACCAACTTTACTAGACCTACCTTTAATTATTATTTCCTTGAAGACGCATTGTATGAGGTTAATACACTGCAAATAGTATCAATACCAGATACTAACGTTTAACCCTGTATGGTGGTAATACAGAGGTTAAGATTATTAAAGTGGTATATGATGTTTGTGGGATCTGCACCCCCCTCACCTCCTATAAAGAGGGTAATAGCAGTATCCCCAGCCTGACCCACTCTCTAAATCCACCTGTGCTGGGCTGCCATATCCGCAGTTGCGATCCAGCAGCATTTGGGGAGGTATTGTTACAGTCAGTGACGGCTAACGAAGGGAAGGGGGGAGGAGTTCGGTGACGTCGATGTCCGTGATGTCACCGGACTCCTCCCCACTTCCCTTCGTTAGCCGACGTTAGCGCCGCAGATCTTAATGGAAACCAGTGGGATTTTGAAGGCAGGCTTTGACTATTGGGAAAACTCTACCCATCCACTGTCAGGGGGTTAAGTGAAGGTAGGTGAAGGCTTCTACTTTATCTGAAACTAAATTTAGGGTGTACCTGTGCTTCTTTTTAATGATTTATTTTGTAATTTAAATGTTCCCTCGTTGGGGTGGAGTGGGCCCCCATTACCATACTCTGGGTAATGATTCTCACTGCTGTGCTGTATGTGTATAGGCCAATGTAGTTGGATCTGTATGTGCATTATAATCGCAATGAATCGATTAAAAAAAAATTTGATTAATCGAACACAAACATTTTAATCATTACCAGCCCTAAAAAAGAGATAAGTAAATGTACACATGCAGCATCTTCGCTATATTCGGCAATATATCTATCTTAAAATGAGCTGTGACCATTTACATCAGAAAGGAGCATTATTTAGACTCTGCTT